GTGAACTTCCAGATGTTCAAGCTGATTTTAGAAAAGGCAGAGGAACCAGAGATCAAATTGCTGACATCTGTTGGATTGTTGAAAAAGCGAAAGAGTTCCAGAAAAACATCTACTTCAGCATATTAAAAAGCAGAGACATTCATTACTTTGCCAACAAAGGTCCCTCTAGTCAAAGCTATGGTTTTTCCAGTAGTCGTGTATGGGTGTAAGAGTTGGACTTTAAAGAAGGCTGAGTGACAAATAATTGATGCTTTTGAACTGTGGTGTTGGAGAAGACTCTTGAAAGTCCCTCTGACAGCAAGGAGATCCAACCAGTCCATCCCAAAGGAAATCAGTCCTGAATATTCATTGGAAGGACTGATGCTGAAGCTGAAACTCCAATACTTTGTCCACCTGATGCAAAGAACTGACTCATTTGAAAAGACCCTGATGCTGGAAAAGATTGAAGGCAGGAGGAGAAGGGGACGAGAGAAGATGAGATGACTGGATGTCATCATTGACTCAGTGGACATGAGTTTGAGTAAACTCTGGGAGTTGGCAGTAGACAGAGAGGCCTGTTGTGCTGCAGTCCATGGGATTGCAAGTAGTCAGACAAGACTGAGCAACTGAACTGAACTGAATCTGCTTAATTGACTGTGCCAAAGTCCTTGTCTGTGTGGATCACGATAAACTGTGGAAAACTCTTAAAGAGATGGGAATACCATACCATCTGACTGGCCTCCTGAGAAATCTGTATGCAGGTCAAGAAGCAACAGTTAAAACTGGATATGGAACAACAGACTGGTTTCAAATCGGGAAAGGAGTACGTCAAGGCTGCATATTGTCACCCTACTTATTTAACTTATATGCAGAGTATATCATACAAAATGGTGGGGTGGATAAAGCACAAGGTTGAATCAAGATTGCTGGGTAAAATATCAATAATCTCAGACATGCAGATGACACCACCCTTATGGCAGAAAGCGAATAAGAACTAAACCTCTTTATGAAAGTGAAAGAGGAGAGTGAAGAAGTTGGCTTAAAGCTTAACATTCAGAAAACTAAGATCATGGTATCTGGTCCTATCACTTCATGGCAAATAGATGGGGAAACAAAGGAAACAGTGAGAGACTATTTTCTGGGGCTCCCAAATCACTTCAGATGGTGACTGCAGCCATGAAATTAAAAAATTTCCTTCCTTTCCTTGGAAGGAAAGCTGTGATTAACCTAGACATCATGTTAAAAAGCAGGTACATTACTTTGCAAACTAAGGTCCATCTAGTCAAAGCTATGGTTTTTCCAGTAGTCATGTATGGATGTGAGAGTTGGACTATAAAAAAAGCTGAGCACTGAAGAATTGGTGCTCTTGAACTGTGGTGTTGGAGAAGACTCTCGAGTGTCCCTTGAACTGCACAAATATGCAACCAGGCTATCCTAAAGGAAATCAGTCCTGAATGATCATTGGAAGGAGTGATGCTGAAGCTGAAACTCCAATACTTTGTCCACCTGATGTGAAGAATTGACTCAATTGAAAAGACCCTGATGCTGGGAAAGATTGAAGGTCGGGAGAAAGGGGCCAACAGAGGATGAGATGGTTGGATGGTATCACTGACTCAATGGACGTGAGTGTGAGCAGGCTCCGGAAGTTGGTGATGGACAGGGAAGCCTGGTGTGCTGCAGTCCATGGGGTTGCAAAGAGCTGGACACAACTGAGCAACTGAACTGAAGAATTTGGTGACTCTTCATATTTATTTGAATTGCATTGATTTTGCTCAAGTTTTAATAGCAGGATTGATTTTCTTATGATTTCTACTTTGTTAATTATACACTTCCTCTCCTCTTTTCTTTTGCTTTTCACAGATTCAAAACCAGTCAGTTCTAAATTCCTGGTGAATTGATTTATTTAATCAGGTCCTTCTGTAGATAAATAGGGTTTCCCAGTTTGTGTCAATGCAGGAGACATAATGAGACGGCGGTTCAGTCCCTGGGTTGCAAAGATTCCCTGGAGAAGGCCATGGCAACCCACTCCAGTATTCTTGCCTGGAGAATCTCATGGACAGAGAAGCCTGGCAGGATATAGTCCATCGGGTCACAAAAAGTTGGACACAGTTGAAGCAACTTAGCACACGTGCATTGATAAAGAAGAATATATAGACAGAATTTTATTGTTTCTGCTTCGTATATTTTTTGATCCATATTTGTATTTGTCCTAAAAATTCCAAGAGGATACATAAAGTATTTTCAATTCTGTGAAGCCTGAAGTTCTCCACAAATATTTCATAATTACATATTATTTTAGGGATGATAATTTAGTGCTTAAAAAAAAACTCCATTAACACATTCATTCATTGGTTGTCAGTGGTTTGTTTTTTAGTTGAAAGTAAAATTTCTAGATGAAAAATGCTTGACTCTGTCTCTTGAGGGAACTATTACTATCAGTACTACTAATAATATGAAAAAGAACAATAGTTGAAGTTTTTGAGTATTTATTATCTACCAAGCACTGTTCCAAGTGTCTATACATAATAATTCTAATGCACACAACCACTCTTTCAGATAGCTTCTTGTTTTCATCATTTTACAAATAAGATACTAAAATACATAGAAGTTAAGTAACTTAGCCTTTTTTTTTTAACCTAAGATCATACAGTTGGTAATTGGTGGAGCCAAGAGTCCAAATTGGAATTCTGGCTCCTGAGTTCACTGCTTAAGCACTGTGCTGTTACCTATCTCCTTTCGTGTATCTAAGCTATTGATCTATTTGATCTATATGATCTATTTGTACATAGAAATTTCTTGTCAAATATTTCTTTTATTAACAGTGTTATTTGTGCAAAAAAGAACTTGGTGTTTCACTTTGTTGAAGAGTGTTAATTTTTTCTTCTTGGATTAGAAGCGTATGTTAGCCTGAAAAACCAGTGTTCATTTTAAAGAAAGAAAACAAGAGATACACAAATTTCAATACCTGAATTTAGAAGAATTTCAACTTCACTGTTATTTGCTCCATTGTTTTCTCAAATGCCATGAATACCAATTGGCACTTTGAAAAATGCTGTGTCTTTTTTACTTTTTTAATCGAAACTATCACTCTTAAAGTGAAGACTTTTATCTATATTTTGAAAATTGGATCCTGGCTCATTAAAATGAAGATTACTTTCTGTTGAGAAAATAATATTCCTGTTAGAAACTGAACTATTTAGTCTTTCAAATATTGATTGGTTTTGTGTTAAATGTTGCATCATTTGATTGGAGCTACTCTATAGCCTTCAGATAAGCAAAAGTTTACAATGTAATTACATTACCAAAATGAAATCAAGTACTGGTTCAGCATTTCAGAAAATCCTTTGACACCTGTTGTACTTTTCTGTTTTATTTTTAGTCTCAGATTTTTTCATCTTCTTTCTTTCCCATCTGAAGTTTTTAAAATAATTTTAAAAAGTATTTTCTCACTTTTCTCTCTTCTTACAAATTAGCAATTTTAGTTCTTTGTACATACCACAGCCCTCAGAAAATCTGGTTTTGGTGTCTAAAATATTTTACAAGGGATGTCCAATTTGAGCATCTCAGTATTTGATAGCTATGTGTAAATGATTAGTAGATATTGTAGGTATGCTGAACTGAATTTGAGAAATACACAATTATGGATTATTATATTTATTAGTGTGTAAAAGCGCAGGATGTGATTAATGTGGTTTTGGGTATAGACAATCCTGTATTTGTATATGAATTCTGCCACATACAACTTTGAGCAAGAGACTACTTAACCTCTGAGTATTAATTATCTTCTGTAACTATAAAAACAGGACAAAAGGCAGAGTATCTGGCTCTACAGATTATAGCTATTTTGCATTACTTGGAACCCTTTACTCAGTTTACGAAAAGAGTTAGCTGCTATTGTGTGTGTTATCTTGTTTCTTCATTTGTATGAAATGCATACTGTCTTCATGATGCTCTATCCATTGTTCTTTTCTTCCCAGTTAGGTCCTATAAAAATCTCCCTGTGTTATCTCCGTAATGAGTAGCTGTCAGGGATTAAATGGCTGGTCTATAAACTGGAGAGAGATCTCTGGTTTGACTTCTCATATCTGGACTGTTCTGTGGTCACAGTGACTCATCTCCCCCAGTACTGTCAAGGTCTTTGGGCCTCTGTCACATCAGTCTTAGCCTTAGGCTTGTAAATTGCTGATAGCATAAATTTTTTAGTCAGGAACTAAGCTTGGTTTGAGAAGTATAATAAGTTCAGGTCAATTTTTATTTAACACCCAGTGAAGTTTATTTGTTTAAAAAAAAAAAAAGAATCTTTAAAGCCATTTGATATTTGGAGATATTTTGGAGTGATACCCAGCTAACTTTTAACTGCTTTCATCATTGCGGGCCTTCATTCCAGGACTTCATGATTAGCTTTTTGTTGCTAATGTGAATAGTCCTTTATTTTGGCAATATAGTTTGCGAGAGACCTGTTTCTAAGGTCTGAAACTCTTCTTTACTGAACTCTTCCTTAGAGTAGTTACTAATCCTGTGAACTCATCTGAGTTGGTTGTCTATATGGTAAATATTGTTAGTTCAGCAACAAATTTGCCATGAAGTTAAAAAATAATATGTCATGAAATGAAAATGAGATACCCTTAAAGGAAACCTTAATTAAAGAAATGGCTTGACTACCTATTAAAAAAAGTTAAATATTTGCTTTCCCTTTTCTTTAATAAATTAAGTAATTATTCATGTATTCTCTTTTTATAGTGTTGTGAAGTTTTTTTTGAAATTGTATGTTTTTTAGGGGAAGGTTAGGAATTGAATTACTTGGGTTTTTGTTTTGTCCTACTGTACCTACTAGATAATATATAAAATATTTCTATGTATTTCTCATTTCCTGTTTACAGATTTTCAGTCCTTTTATTACAAATCTCATTTGGTCCTTTATATGTTATGATAGTTTGTGATAGATGTATATTTAAGTTAGGAGTTTTTGTTCATATAATCAAACAATGTCAATTTTTTTCTTTTTCTCATCTTCTGATCAGGATTTCTGGCAGGTACCGACTCAGCAGCATGTGCTTTAAATTAATTAATGTTTCAAAACCCATAGTAATGCTGCAGGGATAAAGGTTCAGTGCATGCTCATGGCCTTTCCCTGCTCCCTTTAGAGTGATTCAGTTCCTGTCACTTTAAATTAATGTACTTTATCTCTAATATTACAGGTCAAACACTTCACAAGTCCTTGAGAATATAGAACCTAGCATAATTTAAAAGGGAGTTTTAACATTATGTGTCACACAAAAGTTAAGCTGTTTTAAACACTGTATAGTCGATACTCAGTTGGGTCATTTAAATTGTCTTAGTAGGGAAGCCATGTTCCTGGCTAAACTGTAACAGGGGTGGTGAGACAGCAGTAACTCCAAGTAAAAAATTAGTACTTTTTTTTTCTTTTGAAATTTCTTAAGTAATAAATACAGATAAGCAGTTACTTAGTTGTACTTAACTCAGTAAAATGACTTAAGAGTAAACAGATGAAGCATTTAGAAACACTTTATTATTTTGCTTTTTTGAGCTAAACAGCTTTAACTTGGAAAAGCAGCAAATACATGGAGAAAATGATGAAAAAGAATATATAGATTTGTAGGCTGACAGAGGAGAATTTCAAGGACACACCTAGGAAGTACTTTTCAAATTGATCTTTGAAGGTTTAGACCTCTTATAGTTTATAAACTATTAAAATGTATTCAAAAATATTCACTAAAAACATTACTCTTGCATTTCTTAATAAAAATTTAAAATAAACTTAATTAGAACATCTTTTGGCTTAAAATAATCAATTAGTGAAGATTACAGGGTGTTCTTTATTTTTATACATTTTCCCTGTGCTTCCTTGTTCTTAAAATGGTATATATTTGTAGTAGTTTCCTTACCAAACCCCCAAACCAGTCATCCTGTTAGTGGTTCTGTAGATTATCTTAATTTTCCTTTAACTACATTCTGAAATGAATCAACAAATACTTAAATTATTATATCAAAATATAATTTTGAGATTTTGTTTTAGAATAGCTATGGCTCAACCATCATGCAAAGTACTAAGGAGCATAAATCAAATGAGATGTTAACACCTGCGATTGAGGAAAGCCGCTTCCAGTTCTCTTATTTATGGCAGGACAGTTTGTAGGAAGCAGCTAAAAATTCTTATTAATAAGCTTTTTGTATTAAAAATAGTAAGCTCTTTTTCTTAGAATAGGTAGGGGGGGAATTGTTTACTTACGGTGGGTTCTATAAACACCACTCATTTTGGTGACACTAGTAAAAATTGTTTAAGCTTCCAAAGGTCAAGGAGCAGTTACTTTATAGGAGAGGGCTTTCTTGCTTGCTTCCTTACAGGTATTTGTCCTTTGCATGCTAAGTTCCTGTTGCCTGTGGAAAGGCTGGAATCATTTTGTTCTTTTTTTTTTCTGGTAGTACAGTATGAGTGCTATTCTTCAGATGCAGCTAATGAATGGTGTCAGTTTATATTTCTGTAGGAAGTGACTGTAATGTCTCTTTCCAGTCCCTGAGTTCCACCACTGCTGAAGTCTGTTGATTTAACCCATGTCCTTGGTTATTCATCTTGAACAAAGAAACAATAATATAATCATTAAGTGCTCCCAAGGAGGCTATAGTTTACATGGTTACCCCAAATATTAAGACTTCTCTTAAGATGTCTTTAAATACATTTTTATTTTAGATTTTGTTGTGTTTGAATTTGGGATCAACTGTGAACCCATTTGATTTATCCTTGTTGATTTGAAAGCATAAACATGACTAACCATTACATTTTTAATGCCTTTTTGTTTAGCATTTCCATCATGAAACAAAATTTGAAATTCACTTCAATCTGAAAGGACTTTGTTCCAAACTAACTTAATTTTAAAAATCATTTTAGCACAAACACTCTAGCATGTTTGAAAGTTACACAAATAGATTTCTATGAAAGTCACTCAAAATATTTTATTTCTTCTAATGATGGCTAAAAATGATTTCTCAACTCATATGTATTGATGACCTTTGATTGCAGAGGATAGTTCTTGGTTTGCATATTTATCTTTGCCGTGGTGCATTTTTTTAAAAAAATTCTTAACTTAAGAAGCTTCTCCAATTATAAATCAACCTAACATCTACTAGTTAAGATTATAGATAATCATTACATTCTTTTAGTGATACTTATTTTGCAAATTATTAAGATATGTGTTTGAACAAATCAAGGCATAAAAATATGATGTGCACCTACATCATTAACTAGATTTTCACCTTCAAGATAAATAAGCTAATACAAGCTAAACCTCAAGATTAGTATTTTACAATAACTGTTTTGTTCCAACAGTATTTGATCTGCATATAAGAAATTGCAAATAGTTGGGCTTCCCTCATACCTCAGTTGATAAAGAATGTGCAAGCAATGCAAGAGACCCGGGTTCAATCCCTGAGTCGGGTAGATCCCCCTAGAGAAGGAAATGGCAACCCACTCCAGTATTCTTGCCTGGAGAATCCCATGGACAGAGGAGCCTAGCAGACTACAGTCCATGGGGTTGCAAGAATCGGACATGACTTAACAACTACACCACCATGTAGACACCTGATGTATTTTTGTGCATTTGATATAATGCAACATACAATGGTTTGTGCATGGGTTCTGGAGTCAGATCATGACCTGTCCTGCCACTTTATAGCATTGTCACCTTGGGCTTCTTACTTCTCTAACCCTCAGTTTTCTGTCTGTTAAGTGCAGGTAATAGTATCACCTATCTCACAGAATTGCAGTAAGAACTTAAAAGAGATAATACAAGTGTTTAACACAATACCTAGAGAATGGGCTTCCTCAATGGCTCAGAGGGTAAAGAATCCACCTGCTATGCAGGAGATACAGGTTCGATCCCTGTGTTGGGAAGATTCCCTGGAGAAGAGAATGGCAACCTACTCCATTATTGTCTGGAGAATGCCATGGACAGAGGAGCCTGGTGGGCTACAGTCCATGGCATCACAAAGAGTCAGATACGACTGAGTGACTAAGCATGCATGTATAGAACATGCAAACTATAATTTTTAGTATGTCTTTTTAATCATTGGTGGTGTTCAAGGAATACCTAAAACTGTTTGACTTTGACATGATTTAAAAGTTCTTCATCTAAAGGATTTCCTGGGAAATGGGTAGTTTCTAGAACAGTGTAAATCAAGGGTGTGAACAGTGATCCTCAGAGTGAAACTCTTTTCCTTTTTTCCTATGGTGTATTTTTTCTTGAAAGTGATTTTCCAAATAGGAGAAGGTGCAACACTATTGACTTATTGTTCAAAATTTGTATGTGAAGTTGTTTTCCCACAGAGTGATAGAGAAGCCTTTTCTAACCCATGTGACTGAAACCAGTATTGCTGCCGAGCTCAGGACAGTTCTTTTCAGCACTGATTGATTTGAGTGGCCAACATTCAAAATTAAATTCTTAGATTTGGATAGCAGATAATCAATAATGACAAAATATAGATTCTCCCACCCAGAGCTGCCTTGAAGCAAGTTTGCAGGCATAATGTGGTAGAAACTAATAGAGTTGACGATTTTCCACATCTAGGGTTTTGATAACACCTCATCAAATACTAAGAACTGAAATAGATCATTTCAGTAAAGTTACGTCATTTCTTTGAAATGGATTCTATTGCATTACACTTTTGAATTTTATCATTGCTTTAATCAAATCTTCTGCCACTGTTTTTTTTTTTGTTTTTTAAGCATCCTCATTTATTATCCTTATTCTCTCTAGCCATCTGGTTAATGAAGTAGGAAAGCATTTGTATTCTAGGAGTTTGGAGTTGTTCTTAGAGCTAAAGTGGCTAGAATTGGGACTGAAAAGAGAACAGCTTTCTGCAAGAGTGAAGTTTCCAGGATCTTAAGCATTCACGTTCTTTAGTTTGTTGCACAGTAATTTGTGTTTGTTGCCTCAAATTCAATAATACCTTTGAAAAGTTTGGAAACTGAGTTAGGAATAGAAGAAATCATGAACTATAAATTAGAAACATCTCAATTTAATTTTCATCTGACATATCCCCAAATTCTTTCTTTCTGCAAGTTCAGGTATGGGATAAAAGAAGAATAACATGTATTTTAACTGTGCAACGTTTTCTGTTTGATTGAGAATAGTGTGATTGTTTAAGATTGATATCTTACAAGGCTTTGGCACCTATCTATGCACCAACTAAACAATGAAGAGTGAGCATTAATTGCATGAGGAAATTGCTGAATTTTCTCTTTCTTTCTAACATCCTTCTTTCCTGGACTTAACCCAACCTTAGGTAGAAATACTATTATCATTTGGAAATGATATGCAAAAATTACATCTTTTGGAAGAATCATATTATTATCATTGTTTCTGAAATACAACCTCAAGTACTTCTTGATGGACTTGGGCAGGCTTTGAAATGTATTTCAGAAACACAGAGAAATGTTAGTATTAAAACAATCCAGTTATTTCCATCTCATAAAAGATGACATCTTAATTTAAATAGTAAAGCTGTGTTCTTTATCAGATTTTCTACATACCAAAGATGTTTTGAAGTTTTGGATGATGTGTTAGCATCTATTTTGCTGGCATAGCCCATCAACTTCTATTCAACAGAAAAAAGTTTATAGAACTTGAAAAGTAGATCTTAACTAGAATAAATAATTGAGGTTAAGCTCCTAGATAACTATTTTTTTTCTTTGTCTTTATCTAGTTGAGTCCTAGAAGGCAAAATTGTTGGCCTTATTTTGTTCAAACCTATTATAATACTCACTGAGTTTGAGCACAGTGAGTATTAACAAGTTTGTTTGAATCATGTCTGGAAATCCCAGTCCCAGGTCTCCCGATGGTCTCCTGCAATTTTAAACAGATACTTTATAAGTTTTTGTGATGGGTCAGAAACCAGAGTGTGAATCTTTTGGCATAAAGCCATCCTGGTGAAACAATTTGAGGTTTTAGACAACTGAGAAGTATAGTACACATGTAATTGCTGATTTGTTCTAAGTTTACTCAAGATTTAGATATGG